TTTATCATACCAACAGTTACGTAGGTATGTTGATGCTGCGAATAGTACCAACCCTGGCAGCCATTTAGTTTTAGATTGTGATCTGAAGTCTAATCATTTTCAAAGATTATTCCTGTCATTTAAGGCATGCATTGAAGGTTTTAATTACTGTCGTCCATTATTGTTTATGGATAGAACTTTTTTGAAAGGTAGATACAAATGAAATATTCTCTCGGCAACTGCCAAAGATGGAAACCAAGGTATAAGTTTTTTTTTTTTTTTTTAAAAAAAATTATACTGCTCAAATTTTGTGTTACTTTTTTTTGTAAATGTTGCTGTTTGTATGTCACTATTTTCTTTGGTTTGATATTTTATGTTGAATTACAAATAATTATATTATATGATGCAGGTTTATTCCTGCTAGCTTTTGTGGTGGTCGATTATGAAAATGAGTCAAATTGGTTTTGGTTTTTACAACAACTTAATAGTATTGTGGATCATACATGAGAGATTATATTCGTTTCGGATCGGAATGTTGGCTTATTGGAGGCTATGCCAAAATTTTTCCCTAATGCCCATCATACTTATTCCTTGCAGCATTTGAAGGCAAATTTGAGGAACAAATTTAGTGGTGGGCGTTTTTCCAACACATTTAGGAAATGTATTGTATTTTTGCTATGTGAATGCGCTTAGACACCGACAATATCTTTATTTAATGAGAAGATTAGTTCTTTAAGGCGCGAAGGTGGCCCTAATGTTGACAGGTTTATGGCAAATCTCCCGTATGAACATTGGGCAAATGCTCACTTCCGAGGAAATCGTTATAGTGAAATGTCGTCTAATGCAACCGAGTCTTTTAATGCATGGATTACTAAAGCACAACATCTACTGATTACTAGCATGATTGACACTATAAGGGGACAACTTATGAATCTTATGGGTTGTTGAATGAAGACATCGTCAAATTAGAATGGTAATTTATGTCCAAATATGGATGCAAAATTGCATACCGCATTTGATGAAGGAAGGTCTTAGTTTGTACGTATTTCAAACAATGATGTGTATGAAGTGAATTCACATTCTTTGGTATCTATTGACATTCTAAATGGCACGTGCAAATGTCATCAATGGCAGATTAATGGGTTCCCTTGTTCACTTGCGGTATCTGCCATACGAAAGAGTGGTCGGAATATAAATGAATTTGTTGATTATTAATATCATGTGAGCACTTACAGGAAGTCGTATGCTGAACCGATCTTCCCAATCCCTACACTTGGACATCCAGATTTTTCGGGTGAAGATGTCGACATATTGCCGCCATCAACCAAAAAACAGCCTGAGCGACCAAGGAAGCAAATAATAAGATCAAGGGGTGAACTCATTAGGCGTATTTTGTGTGCTCGGTGTGGCTGTTTTGGTACTCACAACAAGAAAACATGTAATGAGCCATTATAATTCATCAACTATTACATTTTGATGGCACTGCTCATTGGTTTCAGATATTTTGGATTATTATCTGTTTTTGTTTAATTTTAAGGTACTGTTATTATCAATTAATAAAAAAAAACATAGTTTTTCTTTATGAGTCATTTTAGGTCATCCATTCAATTTATAAATGTTATAACAATATTTTGTATCTCTATGTTCACAAGGCTCACAAATATGATGTCATAATTTTTGAGGTGCAAAACAAGAAAGAATTACGATGTCACATTACCTTGTCACTCAGTCACTATTTTGATGCAACTCTACAATGTCAGGTGCTGCCTGTAGCACATAATATGTTGTACCAAATACTATACAACATTAAATGCACAAAAAAAATAAAAATCTAATTAAATTAACCCACTCGTAACATGAATGCAATGTACCCACCACCCCCATACAAAACATGTGAATCCAACCCATAAAAATAATTAAAGTGACATCTCCATGTAACAGAAAAATATCACTCTTTGTCAAGTGATTCTTGTAACATCTCATATTTATGTTTCAAATCATTTACAGAATTAAATGAGCAAAAAAAAAATGAGATTCATAAATAAATAACCCATTCATAGCATGACTTCAGTATATCCACCACCATCCCAAAAAACATGTAAATACAACCCACAAACTAAATTAGAGTGACATTTTTCATGTAACAGTACAGTGTCACTCTTTTTCAGGTGCTCCCTGTAACACATCATTTGCTGTGATAAATCCTTTACAACTTTATATGATCCAAAAATAAAATGATAATCATATTAAATTAACCCACTCATAACATGACTATAATATATCCATCGCCATCCCACAAAACAACTCACTATAACCCACAAAAAAAATTAGAGTGACTTTTTCATTTATCAGTACAATGTCACTCTTTTTCAGGTGCTCCCTGTCGCACATCATATGTTGTGACAAATCCTTTACAACTTTAAATGATCCCAAAAAAAATGATAATTATATTAAACTAACCCACACATAGCATGACTGCAATATATCCACAGTCTTCCTAGAAAACTACTCATTACAAGCCACAATATAAAGTAGAGTAACATTTTCATGTAATAGTACAATGTTAGTGTATCTCATGTGCTTCTTGTAACACATCATATTGTTGTTGCAAATCATATACAACATTAAGACAAAAAAAAATGATAATCATATTAAACTAACCCACTCAGAACATGACTGCAATATATTCACCGTCATCCCACAAAACATCTCATTACAACCCACAAATAAGTTAGAGTGACATTTCCATGTAATAGTACAATGTCCCTGTATCCAGGTGTTTCCTGTAACACATCATATTGATGTTGCAAATCATATACAACATTAAATGACCCCAAAAAATGATAATTATATTAAACTAACCCACTAATAACATGACTATAATATATTCACCATTATCCCAAAAAATATCTCATTACAACCCACAAAATAAATTAGAGTAACACTTCCATGTAACAGTATAATGTCACTCTATCTCAATTGTTACCTGTAACACATCATATACTGTAGCAAATTATATACTACATTAACTGACCAAAAACACATGTCCACATATTATATTAATCCACTTATAAAATGAGTGCAACATATCCACCACCACCCACAAAATTAACACAAAAAAAATCTTAGTTATGAGCCAAAATTAACATGTCATGAACGTTTGGATCATACACCCACAAATACATATGGCACACTCAATCAGTTTTCAACAAATCTGTTCACAATGTCGTTCAGTTCATTGTATCCTTCTTCAGCCCAAGGACTTTTGTGGTTTAGGAACAATGTCACCATTTCTGCCCGGAATGCTCTCAATTGTGCAGCAGTCCATTTTTCTTCTACTTCTTCTCCTTTTGTAAGCTTCTTCATTATGTGGCAAACAAACAAACCACAGTCGACACTGCATTGGTAATGCAGTTAATATCATTACATTTGGTGATTTCCAATAAAATATTATGAGAATTACATACGAGTTAGATTTTTGTTGTGGACATTTGTCATATTATACGATGGGTAGCACCTTGTCTTGTGTGTCGAGGATAGTGCCCATGGCAATTTGAATCTCCGAAATCTTTTTCTCCACATAATCGTTCTGTTACATGCAAGAACTTGTTAGTCGTTGTAGTTTTTTGGAAAATATTGACAAAAAAAGGAAATAGAATTGTGGTTTACCAATATTTTTGCATCTTTGAGCCAATGGTTGAGTACTCATTTTTTCCTTAGCTTAAAAGAGTTGTAGTGTGTCCAAATCCCATTTTCAGTGTCTAACACAAGCAATGTCCAATGGGAAGGAACACAAGAACCTTTTTGACCATTTGAGTTCATTGGAAATACTAGGAATTGAGATTCTTGTCCAACCAATAGATGGTCGTCTATTTCCAATTTTCGTGCATGTGCTAGATTATCAAAAATTACCATCGACTATAGATATACATATCATAAAATTAATATATGTTATTTAACATAAAATCAAACTATAGTTACCTATTATTAAGGTCGAAATAACTTACTCAACAGAGACTGTTGAAGAAAAAACATCGTCTCTTAAATGTGGATGATTCATTGTTTTCATCCATCTCCTGCAACATATTAGCCCAAGAGTCTATAATCTAATACAAGATATGGTTTTTTAGTAAACTATAGATGAACAAACTTAAATGATATTCATAACAAATTTGCATCATTCAATTTTTAATTTTTTTAAACAAAAAGCAGTGTAAATACACATTCAAAACATCAAAAAAGATACGGTGTTGTACAACTGACAGCCACCCATCAACTTAAATGCATCTTTAACATCTACATAACTATTGACACCTCTTCTGTGTCATAATATAGTCCTACAAAATAATAACTAGACCAAAACATATTAATGAAAAATTGACAATAATACCTGACTAGGATTAGTTGCCTCACATGGCTCATTCTAATATGAAACATGTACTAAAGTTATATACCATTACTATATATTGCAACAATATAGTATTTCACTATTTTTCATATACAAATACAGAAATATAATTTATTTTTTTGGGAATTTTTAATACTTACAAGTCACCTGTCGAGTTGTAGATTCGCTTCAATTTGTTGTATTCTTGGGGAGCCAATGCTTTGCAACCTTTCCACCACTTAGCAATTTATGTCTTGCTTGTTTCTTGCAGTGTAGTAGTCTTTCCATTTGAGTCATCAATATTAATAATTTCACATTCATTCTGGTTGTTGAGTTTGACGATGCCTTTACCTTTCTTCGATTCATGCGATGTCACATCCTCTTTCTTTCGTCTTTTCCTTCTACTGTACTCATAATCTGTATCTTTGTTCCTCTTCCTCTCTTTCAATTTGATCCTTCTAACCATAGAAGATTGCCCCACTTTTGATGATGTGTTTTGGACTTGTTTTATTTGATCATCACTATCTGGCGTTATGCCTAGAGTATGCACTTGATTTGACAGATTATGGAATCATTGAGTAATGCCATGCATAGACAACTCGTTGATCTGGTCGATCAGTTCTCTATTCTTTACTTCAAGTTGTGCCATTTCAGCCTTGACATCGTCAGTTTCCTTCTTCATAACTTTCACAAGATTCTCCAACTCAAAAATTTGTATATCTTTATCCATCAGTTTTATCACGAAATCTAGGACTTGTGTTTTCATGACAACATTATCTGCACATTCCTCCCCTTTCTTTTTAGTTGTTTCATTCGTTTCCATGCATTTGATCACCTTTTTCAACTCTTCATTTTCTGTTGTTAACACCCCAATCCTTTGTTTATTGATAGAATTTTCTTGTATTTGGTCTTGTAAAAAATTCATATCTTTATCACTCCATTTCATTATGTTTAGGATGTTATCTAAAGAATTGAAATCACCATATGCTTCAGCCCTCTCAAACCTGGTTTCACCGTCTCTTTGTGTGATCTCTAAGGTCACAACATCAAGCAATGCTTCAAAGGGCTCAGATTTTTTGTCATTATCCCCAATAATATCCATAATATCGTCATCAACATCAAACAATACTTCATCATCATTGTAAAGTATTCTGTCATGAACCCATTCTTTTGAATGTTGTTTTTCCCCCATTGTTTCTTCCTCATTGGACTCCTCTAATTTTGTTGCTCCCATTTCTTCCTGAGTTCTAACCATCGATTTTTGAAGCCGAAGTGATTTGAATAATCTCTTCTCTTCTTTGGTTTTTTTCAATCTTTTTTTTCAAAACCTATGTGGGCAAATAAAAGTTATTGTTTTATAGAGTAACATTACAATATTGTCACAGTTTGTTATCATTATAAATAAAAATAACAAATAACACCATTGTGACAAAAAAAAACAATTTAAGCGTATGCATATTCATAATAATAAATTCTAATTATAACAAAACATACATGCTTGATTTTTTGCATACTCCCTTGCTTGATAGCCCTTTGTAGACTTGATAATTTCCATTTCAAGAATCTTGGAAATGCGTTTGGCTTCTCAGGTTTTAGCAGGGTTGTGTGCTCACATAACCAGAACTACAAAATTTGTAAATTAAGGATCAACAAATACTTTGTCATGTTTCCTAAACAAACAAGTTTGTAACAATAAACTTACATGTATAAGATAGACACATCCAGTGACTGTTGATGGACTGCTCCTTTTTTTCCTCAAAGATGATATAAGTGCCACATGTATGGCTTGGGACCAACCAAAAGTCTTCATCCCATCCAAATCCTCCACATATGGGACATAACCCCATCCAAGTGTGTGCCCCATGTCTGTGAAGAACAAAGTAACCATTAAGTATAAATATAATAGACTTGCTATGACATCGTAGTCTTTCTATGTGTTCTCGTCTACTGCTTCTTTCAGCCTGTTTTCAATCAATGGTGCCGACAACCTATCATCTCTATTGAACTTCCGTTGAACGAATGCAGTCGACTCCTTTCCATGGTTTGCTGCATTTATTGTCTCGCTTCCGTCATCAATTCCAAATATTAGAGTGCCATCATTTTTTCACAATTTGAGCCACTCGCCACAATGTTGAATTTTGATGTTTTAGGGTCGAAACACAAAATTACAGGTAGTATATTGTTGTCAATCTTCCTGCACCATGATTTCTCAAAATTGTTCTCTTCGATACTTTCGAAGATTAACCAAAAAGGTGTTTTCCGCAATGACTTCTTATGTTTTTAATGCAAAACAATTTTATGCATTACCCGTATGATTGCAAGCATATTTGATATGTATTGTGGGTCTAACGACTTTTCATTCACATTTGTTTCAACCTGTATGATTGCTTCATTGCCAGGTGTACTAGATGTTGACCCATCCACTTGATTTTGCAATATTATCCTTCATTTTAATTCAATTATTTTGGATGTTGAAGAACGTGTTTTTGTCATTTCCTGTGTTAACCAAGAATAATGTGATACTTTTGACATAAAGTATGAAAGAATAAATTTGATTACTTGTTTATTATGTAACTGTACGTAATATGGTTAAATTAGTTTTTAATATATACTATACCTACATGGACTATGTTTCACAACTTCACAGAGTCCATTGAATTTTTGACAAATTCAATGGACCCACCAATTAAACAACAAAGTTACAACATACTGTGACATCATACTAATTTCACAAAAATATGTCAATACCAAAAAATAGAGTGATATTTCAATGTAACGTTACAATGTCACTCTATTTCAGGTGACTAAAGTAACATATATATGTTGTCAACATCTGTAATAGTTACTCAAAATTATCAATTGAATATAGAGTTAATCCAAGAATTGGTCATATATGAAGGACAAGTTTAAACTTAAATACATGTTGTAGCCCTATGGATTCTCAACAATAGGTTGCCACTACATATTGTAACTCTATGGAATACAATTTACTCCATATTTATAACTTTGTGTATTAAATCCTCAACAAATGCAATGTTCCAAAATATTGCATCATACTTGGTTAAGATTGATTTCAAAAAATTCACAAAGTCCATACCAAAATATAGAATGAAATTTCAATGTAACATTACATTGTCACTCTATCTCAGGTGATTACAGTAACATACAAATGTTGTCAACGTCTGTAAAAACTACTCCAAATTATCAATTGAATATAGAGTCAATCCAACAATTGGACATATAAGAAGGAACATAAATCTGTGCGAGTATATCACATTAGAAATTTTTATTGTTATAGGAGATGTTCTCAATTAAACTGGAAGATATTATTTGTTTAGGAGAAAAGAGGAAGCAGGGAGTAAGACGTAAGTAAGTGTTGCATGTCTGTACAAGTGGTGGATAGCTATTGGTCTTACTTAACACTTGTGATAAACTTAGATCAAGTGGTGGACAGCTATAAGAAGTAATGTTATCATAATTGGACCGGTCATCGAACCAGCAAAGGGATCGGATCAATGGTTCATTGGTTCAACCATTCGTTCACAATTAACATTGAGCAAAGACCTCAATGCTAAAAAAACATCAATACTGATAACTAGATCCTCTTCTTAGGATGGCTCAGTTGTGGAGGTGCTACTAGTTTTAGAAGATGACATAGACCCTCTAGTTGTCGAGGCTATGGAAGCAAGACATACAACACTTTGGGTTTGGGCCCATGCAAAGGAATGGCACTAGGTTATACTGGAAGGAGACGCATGATTAACCCTAATTAAGGCATAATTTAATAGGTAAATTTTGTTAGTTGAATAAAGTTAAACTAGTCAAAATAAATCAAATTAGAGTTAGTGTGTGAATAAAGGATAATGCATTAATTGTTGTTCTTTTCAGGGTTTTGTGTGTCAATGCTACAAACTACTGGGGAGTCAATTGCATTAAAGCTACAAACTACTGGGGTGCCAATTATCAAAGCATAAAACAAATGGGGATCAAAGAATTCAAGGCCACCTAACAAGACTTTCATGCCACCAAACAAGACTTTTCAAGGTCACCCAACAAGATTCAAAGCCACCTAACAAGACTTTCACCGTCCCTTGTTGCCTATAAATACCACCCCTTAGGACTTGTAAAACATTCATCTTTTGGTAGTGGAAAACCCTCCAAAAATATTATTGCTTTCCTTATTGCTTATTGCTTTCTTTTATTGTATTATTGCTTTCTTTTAATATATTGCTTTCTTTTACTTTAAGTATTGCTTTCTGTTATTGTGTAATTACTTTCTTTTATTTCCATTGCTTGAGCTTCCTTCTTCTCTTAGAGGAGTGAAACTCTTCCACTTTTCTAGAGCTTTACCAAAGCCGTGAAGAGTGGAACGTGATTCACTGATTCTTTGTCGAAGATCGGCTCCTTGTATAAAATGTTTTACCTTGTAACTCCTCTACTTGGAGGGATGAACATCACTCACTTTTCTTGCTTTAATAAAGTCATGAAGAGTGAGTAGTTTCTCATCCAATCTTTAGTAAGAGGTGATTATCTGGAAGTTATATTTATGTATTTCATTTATACTTAACTCTAGTCTTTATTTCTTCATAATGTCTTCTCATTATATTGTTATTTTTATTTTTATTTTAAGCATGAATAACAAAATCTCTTAGTTGGCAAAACCAAGAGGAACCTCCACTTGGGTATACCATTTCAACTCATTCTCCTCCTCTCTTTCAGAGTTCAATGGTTCGATTTGATTGGGTTGAGGGTGGATAACTTGGTGAGTCTTTGATATTTCGTAGGCCTAGTCACGGTTTATGCTTAGATACTCACCAATCTTACCCCTAGCTTCCCACGAATCAATCGTTCATTCATGCTCTATTGGAGGAGGGTTTCGAGTTGAGACGGTATTCCTATTGGAGTGACCTCTTGGATTTGCCAACATTTGTTTCTCATTTTACTAGCATCAAAACAACTTTACCAAACAACTTCCAACAATCAAAGATTTTACACTTTCTTTCTCCCAAAGTCACCTTCCCCTCGATTTACTTACTTCCCCGTGGAAACGACCTTGGAACACCACCAAGTAAAACACGATCCGTGAAAGTTTCCTTGCACTTGGGGAGCACTATTGTTCACACATACTCACATTTGAAATCTCATTCATCCACCATTCCGTTGTCCTTTCTTTTGACATTATCTCTAGGAGAGTGACACCCCCTTCATTCATATACTATTCATGCTAAAAGGTGATGTTTAGAGGTTAGGAAACAACAAAGAATTTTCTCAAGTATTTTTGGCACCGTTGCCGGGAAAGGCAAGTGTCAAACCAAGAAGGTGATTTTCGGACGACGGAGGTAAGTCCCATGATCTTTATCATGGGTGGAGGTACGTTGTTCCGTGTACATAATATTATTTGTGTATAATTTTGTTTGTATATATTTTATTTTATGTGGTGGCGGAATGATCGAAACCAACTTGTTAGACAAAACTTGGCACCTACCATGAATATTGACCAAGAACAACCCGAGGATACGGGTGACAATTTTGACAAAATAGGTGCAAATCCAAATGTCCAAAGGGGTGCAAATCCAAATGTCCAAAGGGGTGGGGGACCACAAGAACCCCAAATACCCAATCCGAGAATGAACGTTCCCCCTCCCGTGAATGAGGGGAATAATTTTCAAACGGATCCCCCGGTGAGGTCAATGAGGGATTTCCTACAACCAACACGAAGCACCACACCATCATGCATCCTCCTTCCGGTCCAAGCTCATCTTTTCATAGTTAAGCCAGGAATGTTGCAACAAATTTCCACGTTCAACGGACTTGAAACTCAAAACCCTTATTCACACATAAGGGATTTCGAGGAAATAGTTGCAACATTCCTTCCTAATCATGGGATGGAAGAGATAGTTAGAATGAAAATATTTCCCTTTTTCCCGAAAGACAAGGCAAAAACGTGGCTTATTTTCTTAAGACCTCGAACTATCACATCGTGGAGCCAAATAATTTTTGAGTTTTTGAACAAATTCTTTCCGATGCATAAAACCACTGCCCTAAAAAAGTAAATTCAAAACTTTTCGAAACACCCAATGAGCAATTCTATCAATGTTGGGAGAGGTACAAGAAATTGCTACAATCCCTTCCACATCATAGCTTTGAACCATGGCAATTGGTGAGTTTCTTTTATAAAGGAATCACACCGGGCCATCAACAGTTCATTGACATGATGTGTAATGGGGAATTTTTGAACAAAGACGCTGATGAGGC